TCCTGGGACAGGTGAGAGAGGAAGAGCACAGCACGGCACAGCGCAGCACAGCGCAGCACAGCTCTCCCCTCTCACTGTCTACATGGAGCGGCAGGGTTACTTTTATCCCTGCCGCTCTGCTCACTGCAGTCAGAGACTCGGGACTCTGCGACGGAGGACGGAACCAAATGAGAGAGGTAAGTGCAGGGGGGAGGGGGAGAAGGCTGCACACTGTTTACATGTGATCTCGGCGACATCGCCGATTTCACATGTAAACGAAAAATCGTCTGCCTCACTCTACATTCAGTCCTCCTTGTACAAAGCAGGACTGAATGTAGAGAGGGCAACTTCCCCACAAGGACACCGCTGCCGCCCCTCTGCGCCCTGCCGCCCCGAGGCCGGGCCTCGGTGGCCTTGTGGGGAATCCGGGCCTGTCTGCACTCCACAATTCTGTATGCTGGATAACTTCACTTTGCTTACAGGCCATTTAGACCCTCTAAATCTTTTCACTCAACACTGAGCTTGATTATAAATACTGTATTTTGCGATCCATAAGACGCACCGGACCATAGGACGCAGGGAGGTCCGGCGCGCCTTATGGAGCACTCGACAGACTGTAGCTTCTGACACAGCTTCTATGACAGAAGCTGTGACAGAAGCTGCAGTTAGTGACCGCTGAGACAGGTGGCGCTGTGATTACAGCGCCACGGTCTCAGTGATCACACAGAGCAGACCAAGAAAGTCCGTTCTTCGTCTGCTCTATGGTGATCTCGATCGTCACCGTTGCTCGGTTTTAATACGAGTGATCTCGTTAGATCACTCTTATTAAACGAGCAGAAGCTCGTTTAATACGAAACTGCATGTCTCGGGCGTCGGGATTCGCTCCATAAGACGCAGGCACATTTTCCCCCTCCTTTTGGGGGGTAAAAAGTGCGTCATATGGAGCGAAAAATACGGTAAGTGATTTAGCTCATCTTTCAGTGAAATATTTTAGAGCCTTGGTTCTCAACTGGTGGGTCGTGACCCAAAAGTGGGTCGTGACCCAAAAGTGGGTCGTGACCCTGTGTTCAGTGGGTCGTGGGCATGCCTTCCACTTTTCCAGGCGAGAGGCTCCTCAACCTACTCCTCATCTTGAGGTGGGGTGGGCTGGGGGTATGGCCATGAGGGAGCTCCATCCATACATGCATTGCTTACAGCTCCCTCACGCGTCCTGTAGAAATGCCTGGACCGGAGTGACGTCACATTCTGGCTCCCGGCACCTCTACAGGGTGCACGAGGGAGCTGTACAAGCACTGCACGTATGGAGCTCTGTCACTGCACACCAGCCCACACTGGACCCCAGGCTGAGGATGCGCTCCAGTTCGGAAGGTAGAGAGACTGGGTGGATATTAAAAATGTATTTACATTTTGTGTGTGTGTGTGAGATTGTGTCGGTGGTTGTGGCAGGGATTTTGAGGGCCCATTCACACTAGTACCGTGCGAATAACACATGGTACCATGCAATCTCACCTACTGTTCATTCTGGTGTGGGAGGTGTGTTGCGTTGACATTCATTTGAACCCCAAACGCACCTCCCACCCACAGTTCGTACGCCCGCATCGTAACGCGCGGTATCCAATGCTGTGCATTCCATTGCAGTGTGACTTGGGTCGCGACTTAACGACCAAGGACAAATGTGGGTCCTGAGATTACACAGGTTGAGAACCACTTCTTTAGAGGGGGGATCTTAGCAAGATAGATTGTCTGGTCAGCCGCAATAAAGTTATACAACAGACAGAATTCAAGATGTGGCCTTCGTTTGTGGATTGTTTGGGCATGTCCGGAAGAGCGAGTACTTTTTTAGCATAGGGAATAGGTAAATCCCAGGTCAGGTTTTTATTTGTGTCTGTTTTCCAGGCTGAACAGAGTCAATCTCTCCAATTTTCCTGGTGACTCTAGTACAGATGGGTTGGAAAATTAAAGATTTTTAGAGTCTTCACTGGAACAGGAATTGAGGGCAATTATTATTTTTTTTGTTCAAAACAGTTTTTATTTTCCAAAAGAAAGGTACAGTACAGCAGTAATACAGAAGGGCAATTCTTCTATTGGAGATGTCCATTGCTGTAACAATTGTCTAAGAGGGGATTTCCTTTTCCCTGGATAGATTTATTCTCACTGCCAATCATTTCTCTGGGACAGAAAGTGAAAACAAATCTCCCCAACAGGACGCAGACAAAAAAAAAACCTCAAGGAAAAAGAATATTTTTGGATTTAAATCCTTCTAGCTCTATAAGTTGAAATGTTCAGGCCAGTGACATTGCAACTAAAAAAAAAATCACATACCATGTTTCCCCGAAAATAAGACACTGTCTTATATTTTTTTGCCCCCAAAAACCACACTAGGTCCTATTTTCAGGGGATGCCTAATTTTTTTTTTAATGTGCAACAAAATGTACAACAATCTAAAGTTATTCATGTACAACAATCCAAAGTTATCTGGTATCACTCCGCCTGTCACATTAACTGGTGCTCTAAAGCAGTGGTTCTCAACCTGTGTAACCTCAGGACCCACATTTGTGCATGGTCATTAAGTCGCGACCCAAATTGCACTGCAATGGACCGCGCTGCATTGCGGTACTATGTGTTCCGGTGCGGGTGATTGAACTATGAGTGGGAGGTGTGTTTGGGGTACCATTCAAATGAATATCAATGCAACATACCTCCCACACCAGAACGCGTAGTAGGTGTGATTGCGTGTTACAGTGCATTATTCTAGTCCAGGCACCTCGGCACCTCTACAGAACACATGAGGGAGCTGTAAGCAATGCATATATGGATGGAGCTCCTTTGCCGCCATAGCCCACCTCAAGCTGACACTCGATGCTGGGCAGCATATTCTGAATGGCTGCTTGGCATGAGAACTGACAGTGCTGCGCTAGGGGAGGCTGAGGAGCCTCTCACCTAGAAAAGGGGAACGCATGCGGTGACCCACTGAACATGAGGTCGCGACCCACTTTTGGGTCACGACCCACCAGTTGAGAACCAAGGCTCTAGAGGAATATTGGATTATGAGGCTCCCTCCGCCGCCGCAGCCTTGCTTTCTACAGCGTTGGCTTCCTTTGCCACCAGGGACAGTGGTACCAGCAGTGCAGCAGTGGACAGCGCGGTAAAGTACGGTATCATTACATTAAGCAGTGCCTTCAGGGGGACAGCAGTTGGTGAAGTATGGTACTGGAGTGCTCCCTGTCACTACGCTGGCCGGAGGTAGTCCCCTGTCATCCCCTTAATACAGTATGTCCCTGCAGGCTGATACCATCTCTCCTGCAAGTTCCCTCTCACATGCTACCACCAAACTATGTCTTATTTTCGGGGTAGGTCTTATATTACAGGAATCTTGAAAAATAGTGCTAGGTCTTACTTTCGGGGTAGGTCTTATTTTCGGGGGAAACAGGGTAGTTGCACAAGAGAATGGTGTAGTATAGCAAATGCTGCTCTACCTTTCCCTTTCAAAAGAAAAAAGAGATTTAAACTGTATCAAACTATTCAGTAAAACATGGGAAGAAATATTTCCACTGACGCTGAATAATCAGCTTTAACGTTTAATTAGTCAACTCAATCAAGTCTCAGCTGCTCAGTTGATATGCAAATGGTATAACATTAATTAACCTGTTGGGATTAATTAGTCGGTCTTTCACAGTATAAAATCAACAGAATACCTGGGACATATCATCTATAAACCAGGAACCCATTGCACTCTACTCAACATACACTCAACCCATCATACACTCGGCCTCTCATACTTTCTGGCTCTCTGGCTGGTGTGGCGGATGCTGAAGATTCTTCACCAATATTATCTCTTGAAGACAAAAAAGTGTGATGCCACAGGTGGCAGGAGGAATGAGTATTAATATCTTCCTTTGCAGGCTGACTTTCTGTTTACTTAAAGTGACATTAAACCCTCAGATTTTTTAACATAAACCAAAACTGTAATGTGTGCCTTACTGTAATCCATGGTAGCTTCCCTTCTCTTTGCTGCTCTTCCTTTTAAATCTGTATCTGTTCTCATGCTGGGGGAGAACTTCTGTTTTGCAGCAGACTGCCTGGTCTCTGGAATGGATACATCCCAGATAGCAAGGATAACTTGCCACAAACTTGTGTCAGGGTTAAATTGTAATTCTTGTTAACTTGCTGCACACATTCCTGGCAGGTTGTAGACATGCAGAACACTCACAGCACAAGTTCTAGGCGACACTTTTTGAATTTGTAGCAAATTTGCTTGGCAAGTCTACAGCAAGAGTCCTGCAGGTCTTATCAAGAGCTCTGCAAGCTCGCTGGTCTGGAGACTTGCAATGCAGACTTGCTGTACTTGTGCAACATAATTGTGAAGCTCGGCAAGTCTGCAATAGTTTAGCAAGTCATTTTCAAACTTGCAGCTCAATTACTTGCTATCTGGGATGGAGTCTGTGTGAAGGTTCACAACCTGAGCCAGCACTACAGGAAGAGGCACTCAGCTGCAAAGGGAAGTTCTCCCCTAGCATGAGAAGAGAGAAGGATTTAAAAGGAAGAGCAGCAAAGAGAAGGGAAACTACCATGGATTACAGTAAGGCGCACATTACAGTATTGTTTATGTTAAATAATCTGAGGGTTTAATGTCACTTTAAGTTTGTTTAACCAATGATCATCAAATTTCTATTCTTAAAGTCCTTAAGCCAAATGGTTTTTATATTTTTGGATAGAGTAGGGAATCATTTTTTTATGGCCCATCTGGGTCCCCTTCAATAATTCTATGCCTTGTTTGGTGACAACTTCTTCGTTTTGGATTTTGCCTCACTTCAGGCCTAGTGATAATGGTCATTATGACAAATAGAGAAGGTGAAAGATCACAGTATGGACACAGACAGAAATAAAAATCTCAAGAGAATTCTATCCTCTCACACGCTATCCAAAACAAAAATGTTTTTGTTGGCTTTTAAGCCTTGTTTGATTATTTCTCACTAACCTTGTCTACTTGTATAATTTTATATAGGTAAATTTCTGCCATTATGTGCGATCACAATGAAACAAGAGTCACAGAGTTTAATCTTCTCGGATTTAAAGGCCTATACAACTACAGAACTCTACTCTTCATCGTTCTGCTTCTGATTTACATTGCCATAGTTGCTGGAAACCTTTTAATCGTCTTCTTGGTTTCAACCTATGACAATCTCAAAATCCCAATGTTCTTCCTTCTAAAAAACCTAGCTATTGCTGACATCCTCTTGACTACCTGTGTTGTGCCATTAATGTTAGATATTGTATTAAAAAAAGAAGGGAAAATATCAGTCGGTGGTTGTATTGTTCAGTTGTACCTCTTTGGTATTTTTGGGTTTGTGCAATGCTTCATTATTGCCATAATGTCTTATGACCGTTATGTGGCCATATCTAACCCTTTAGACTACAATTTAATTATGAGCCCCAATGTCTGCTTCCTTCTTGTTTTGGGGTCTTGGTTATTGTTCGTCAGCCTTGTTTCAAGTGAAATATTCTTTATAAGTCAATTTCGGTTTTGCGGATTGAATATCATAGACCATTTCTTCTGTGATTTTGGTCCGGTAATGAAATTATCCACCTCAGACACCTCTATTGTTATGATGGAAGACTTCATTATCTCCATCTTGATATTATTTTTTCCTTTTGGGTTCGTTCTTGGGACATACATCTATATATTCAACATTATCCTCAAAATTCCATCCACTAATGGGAAAAGAAAGGCCTTCTCCACCTGCAGTTCTCACCTGACCACAGTATGTGCTTATTATGGGACTCTGATCACCGTTTACATGAGTCCAACTGATGACAACGCATCTGAACTGAATAGATACAGGGCCTTGTTGTACATTGTTGTAACCCCATTGATAAATCCAATTATTTACAGCCTGAGGAACCATGAGATTAAACAAGCATTGCAAAAAATGTGGAAGAGTATCGCTGAAGTCAAATGGAGATAGCAAAATAACAATAAATAGATAAAAACTTGTGGACTAGATATGAAGACTGCAAATTCTTTGTTGGGTTGCTGTAGCAAGGAAGCTTTCCAGAGTCTGATTTTGATCTCTTAAGTAAAAATGAAAAGTTGCAAATGAAAGGTTTTCTCTGCATTCTTTCTAAAACACCGAAAATAGTAGCTATGACTGCACAACATCCTCGCAGCAATTCCTTTCCTCCACTAGATATCCCCAGTCTTCCAGGTTGCATGATCTCTCCCATCCTCTGGAACTCTTTACTCCAACCTGTCTGTCTATCTCCCACCTTGACTGCCTTTAGGCGTTCCCTAAAGACTCATCTCTTCAGGGAAGCCTATCCCACCTCAACCTAACCACTCAACGATCTCATTCTCAAACAATTCATCCCCACACAACCACCTCCTCATGTATCACTTGCCCCTCCATCTTAGATTGTAAGCCCTCAGGGGCAGGGCCCTCCTTACCATCTTGTCTTGAATTGTATTGTGATTGTAATGTCTTCCTTATATTGTAAAGCGCTGTGCAAACTGTTGGCGTCATATAAATCCTGTGTAGTAATAATAATAATAATAATGCAAACAGCTTCATTGTGGTCATCTGCGCTTCTGGCAATAGGTTGGGGTTGATTTATTGAAGGATCTATTTGGTTTTTTCCCTTGTTGGCCACAAAATTATTTGCCATTCTTTGAGAATTCTTTGGCAGTACCAAATTCCAAAGGCATCAGAAGTTTTCATGTCTTGCCTCTTCATTGTCCAACTTTCACCTCGTTAGAGAGTGACGAAAATACCATCTAAAATGGACAATTCTGATTTTTGTAGATCTGTTTATAGATGCACACATTACTTTTGTCCCTTTGGAGGGGTGTCACCATAGCACCCTCCACTGGCATACAATGATGCAGAGAACTTAGTTGAAAACCCTGCACATCACATGACCTGAATTTACCTAAAGAAAAGTATTGAGGGGTAGCGTTGGGCAGCAGGATGGGTGAGCCCGGAATTGAGCTTTAACATGTGTGTTATAGAGTTATGACAACTGTGTTTCTATTTGCTTATGGTAACATTGCATTGCTTTATACTTCCTGTTTTTACCTTTGACCTTAATGTAGTTATATGGTACAACATGACTCCTCAGTCTAACAGCTTGCAGTGTCCTCATTTCAATACATGAAACAAGGTGCTTAGTCATTGAAGTGCATATAAAGCCAGAGCTTCTGTCCTGTAAGGGAGATTTCCCTTCACTTCCTGTCCCGGAGACACAGCAGGAAGTAAGAGAATACCTCTTCAAAGAAAGGGAATACCTCCTGCAAAGGGATACCTATTCATTGCTGTCTTTGTGTCTGTTGGAAAGATGCATCTAATTGTCTTGGTGACTATTGTCACCAGTACAGAAAGTGATGGGAAACCAAAATGTTTCAGTTGTCAAAGAAACAGCAGGTATCTCCTTACTTTGAAGGGATCTTCCCTTACTTCCTGATGTGCCTCTGAGTCAGGAATTATAAGGATATCTCCTTACCTGTTTTTTTGGGGATATCCCCCGAAAAAGCTGACAAGTCCGTTAAAGGGCATGTCAAGAATAAAAAACATATGCAGTACATTTTTGTACAATACATGCACATTCGCCCATTTTTTATCCCTTTAACTTTGCAACAAGTACAGAAATATTTGCAATATATTCACTTTTCCAATGTTTTAATCCATTAAAGACCCTGCAAAACCAGAAAAATAACTGTTGATCTGCCAGAAATGCGCGCAGCTCCCAGGTCCTGTTGTGAGCTGACAACACACAGAATTTTTGTCGACTGAATGGTGTCAGCCCTACCCATTGTCTTATGCTAAACTACTCAGACACACCCACTCTCAGATCCCTACAACATAAGAGCTAAACATTCTTGGGGTAATTTATCAAAACTAGAGCAGACAAAATCTGGAGCAGCTGTGCATGGCAACCAATCAGCTTCTCTCTTCAGTTTGTTCAGTTAGGATCTGAAAATGAAAGAGAGAAGCTGATTGGTTGCCATGGGCAACTACTCCAGATTTTGTCTGCTCCAGTTTTATAGTTGATATAGTTATAAGAACATTAGTAGACATGTAAGTTTTGTTTAGTTCTGAATACAAATTCGGACAAAATTTTGTGAATTCGGACATTCAGATGCATCCGAATTGTTTAATTCCAGTGAGGCCGAATGCAAACAAATCCGAGTGTTCTTTTAACAACATTTCAGATCACCCGAATTTTGTTCAAAATGAAACTAAATTGGACAGGTGACTACTTTCTGGTCAATCAGAAAATTGATCCCAATCTGAATAACGGAATGAAACTGCGAACAAAAAATCAGAAACAAAACAAATGTTTTTGTGCACTTCTTCTGCCTTCTGCGAAATCTGCCCCCTATTGTGAATAACCCTGAAAATAACTGTAATCTATTGACATCACCTGCAATGTGAGTGATGTAGTCAGAGGTCTGGTGGAGGAGGTGAGTGTTGTAGTCAGAGGTCTGGTGGAGGAGGTGAGTGTTGTAGTCAAAGGTCTGATGGAGGAAGTGAGTGTTGTAGTCAGAGGTCTAGTGGACGAAACGAGTGTTGTAGTCAGAGGTCTGGTGGAGGAGGTGAGTGTTGTAGTCAGAGGTCTAGTGGAGGAAACGAGTGTTGTAGTCAGAGGTCTGGTGGAGGAGGTGACTTTGGTTAGCCACCCTCACAACGAATACTTAACTGACTAGTGTTTTCATACTTTTTTCTTTGTTTGATTGTTTTACAATGTTACTTTATTTATATTTTTGATCCTTTTATAAAATAATGTATATTTTTCTTTATCTCAGCTTACATTAATAAAGCCATTCAATGGTTTGTTCTCATTTCATTTTTTCTAATTTCAATAAACAATTATTTCCACACAGACATCAGTGACTCCGTTCCTTCTCTTGGCATTCATAAATCTCTATGGAAATAATACTAAATTCTAACAACATGATTACATCATCAGCTCATTATTGATACAGTTTTCTCCCTATTAAGTGAACTAATTAGAGGAATGAAGGATACTAGGACTATAATTAACCTCCTGGGGATTCTTAGATATTTTCATCAATTATTTTTGTTTCAGTAGACTTGTATATAAATTTATTCCCAGAGGTGAGATCTAAATAGGTTGTTCAAAATAATGACTAATGAATAGGCATAAACATACTGATTTATTTATTTAATTTTTGTCCCAAAGCACATGCTATTTTTTAATGATTGTTCTAACAAAGGAATAACAGAATCAGTTGACTCTTCATGACCAGAAAAAAACAACTTATATTATGATATAACACATACAGTATATTTAAAAA